AACATTCGACGAATTTACGAGCACGAGTACGAACCACGAGCACGAGCACGAACGATCGTGTTCAACTTTTAGGATATTAAACTTAATCGCTCTGTTCTTTCGAACTATAGTTTTCGTGCCGGAAATATGTTCGGATAGAAGGACGCCCGAAGGGGTCGGCGGGGGGGGGGGGTTGTTTCAACTTTTCGCTTTTTAGATAATTATTTTTCTGCATGGAGAACATAATAACACGTATATCTATCTATCTATATGTATGTATGTGTGGGTCTGCTCGCGTAGATTTTTTATTTCTTAGATTTTTCAGACTAAAGTGCGTAAACGATATTTATTTTGTTATAATTTTTGTCGTAAATAATACACACACCTCGGAGTATAATTCGATGATTTACTGTTCATCATTTTTTATATGTTTTATTATAACGATTTTGTAATTATTCAATTTTTGTGTTTGTTATGTTAGATTTATTTGAGAAGAAATGATTTGACGTACGCAATATTATATAAAATTTTAATTGAATAATATTAGTTTCCTTCTATCTCTTTTTTATTTCTATATATTTCTATTTAATAACAGCCAAACTTTCTCTCTATTTTTAGCCCAGTCACGATCACGATATTTCACATCCCCCCCTATAGCAATATAATCCCATATAAGGTATTCCTGCACGCGATTTTACGTTGATCAATACCAACCAATCACGACGAAGGTTGCTCAAAAATGACTCTTTTCGTTTCTTCTTGGTGACCGCACTCGCCAGGTGGAACGCGTCGGTAGCCACGTGTCTTTTTTTCCCGTAGAAATAGTTTGAATTAACAATAATAATAAAAAAAGAAAAAAAATCACCTTCTTCAAACCGTCGTACGATACTTGAACGTCTTCTCTCTCAAACGCGAACTAGTGTATAACCAGCAAAAAATAATACAATAAAATAAATATTTAAGGGATGATCGGACAATCGAATTGTCGGGGTGTCTCGTTTACGTTAGAAATAAACATGAATATGAAAATACTCGATTTATATGAATCCCCATTTAATTGCAGACAGGTCAGGGTGGTCATTGAAACCCCTCTATCCCCCCCTTACCCTTATATTATTTATTTATTTATTTTATTTTATTTTTTTTTTTGTAGCATCGCAGGGGGTAACTTTCGTACCATATTTAAAACGGGTATTAACTAATAGACTTTCGTTTGAATCAACTATAATAATTCTACGTTTAACACGCGCTTCCCATTACCGTTGAAAAATAAAATGCCACTTGGCAAGTTCGTTAAGCTATTGTGTGCATATGTATATGTGTGTGTGTATGGATACTTCAGATAGAATAGGGAAAGCTTATTCAACATTTTTTATTTATTTATCTAGATGTACCTGAATTATTTATCGTCAAAAAGTATGTTTAAATACGTTGAGATTAAACGACAGTGTTAGGGTGTTTTTTTTATTATTTTAATATTTCTTTTCGAAGAACGCGTTTCTCTTATATTTTTATTTTTAATATATTCCTATGATCATTTTAATTAAATTCCGTTATAAGATAGATAGGAGAAACGAGATTTGATATTTTAATTTGTGATATTTTATTTTATTTTATTTTATTTTATTTTATTTTATTTCATTTTATTTTATTTTATTTTATTTCATTTTATTTTATTTTATGGTATCGCGTATTGATGTTACGATGATTCGAATAGGGAAAGTATTGATTGGTTTAGTTAATATAAAGGATTATTGACAGCCGTCAATTCGTTCTTTCCAGGTGTAGTAGAACTGTTCTCGACGTAAATCGATAGTTCAGTTAATTCAATTGCGAGTTAGTAGCCATCCGTTTGATTATGCGTGTCTGACTGGGGTGATAGGTATAATCGGCCATGGAATACTTTACATTCTATGTATATGTAATATATGTATTACATGTATATATATAGACGTGTCAAATTATTTCTAGTCTCATCTTCATTATACTGCAATAGTTATAATTTAAAAAAAAATAGATGTATGCAAATAACAGATCATTTAGGGAACGTCCTTCTTTAAAATATACAAAATTTGAAACGTTAATGTTTTTGTGTGGAAATTATTTGAAGACAGCTGTAAGAAATTCAATAAATATCTGTAAAATCGTCTCGAGTGTAAAAGGGTTAATAATATTTTTGTATCGATGTAAAATGGTATAGAATTGTAACCAATGAACTGAATTCACACACACATTTTTGATGAAACACCAAAAATATAAACATAAATTAATTAAAAATATATTGCAAAGAAAAGAATAATATTCTACACATACATATGTAACAAACTTATTACAACGTTTATAATTTTCTTAATGTATAAAAAAAAAAAAAAAAGAAAAAGAAAAAAGGTGAAGTTATGCTCACGGGCGTCTGCTCTTATCTTTATGGGGTCTGTAAACTGGGGCTAACATGGGGGTGAGTTGTAGGAACCATATATACGGTTAATTACAACACACGCGATGTTTTCTAGAGGGTCTTCTAAGTAGTAGCTATATATAGTAGTAGTTTTGTATGTATATGGGGGTATATGAAGAATACAACATAGCAGCTGGTGCGTACTTTTAATGGCTGTCATCCCCATAGCCCCCACGGTCAGTTTCGATAATACTAACTAATACTCTTCTCTCTCTCTCTCTTCCCCCTTATAACATTTTTTTAGCATGGTCGGCACGATACCGTTAAATCGAAAAATCGACAAACTATTTCCCCATATCGATGGTGTTCCTTCCTCCTACGCGCTTCAATAATGGATTTCCGACCGTTACACCATCGAGAAATCCGATTAATGTTCGGTTAACTAATTGTGAGAAAATACGCAGTACGGGAAGCGATGCCAATAATAATTGTTTCGTTGCTATACTTGTGTGGGAATATTCCCACAGAAAACGCCGTATTTAAAAAGAATAAAATAAAACAAATCAACGGGGAAAAATAAAATTCAAACGGTTGGACGATTTCTTTTTTTTTACTTTTCTTTTTTTTTTTTTTATGCGCTACCCAAATAATTATTCAAATTGGTCGAATTTTATTACGAGATGAAACAATCTAATCGAATCGTTTAAAATTCATTTCGTTTGTTTTTTTTAAACACAATTATTATTATTTAGAAATATAATTTTATCATCGATCATCTTAATTTTATAATCGTATAAATAATGAATTTTGAATTGATTTAAAATAACACTTTGCAAATTTTTATTCTAATTACAAATTTGCTATATATTTATTTAATAGAAGGACAAAATGATTGTATCCAATGATAAAACTTACCAAGAATATTAATATTTCGATAAGATAAGGAAGATGTAATAAATAGTTCAACGACGACAGAACCCATGTTATTTCGTTGTCACCCCGTATGGTGGTATTCTCCTGTATTAACATGAAGACCACCATGGCACGCGACCAGGTGGGATCATGCGAGAGAATGTTCATTACAAAATGTGATACACTGTTTATTCTCTCTCTCTCTCTCTCTCTCTCTCTCTCGTCTGCTATATAATTTTCTCAAATGATTCTGTTTATTTTTTCTCTCGCTTTCCACGTGCTCTTTGCTATCCGATCATGCTATAACCTATTATTAAAATGATAGGAGATAATTATTACTCATGTTAGAGTCATAATAATCTTCATCCACGTGTCAAACTTTTACGATTACAATTTAACGGTAGCTCATTTATTTTCTTTCGGGCGATAATATAATGCTTAATTAAAATATATTATATATATTAATATATTTTATATTATTATTATTATTATATATATTATATATATATAATGCTTAATTAAAATATAATTAATTTTTTATATATACATTTAATTTTTATTTTAATAATGAATCTATATATATATATTTTTTTTTGTTTAATTTAATTTAATAATTCTTAATCGTCAAAATTCTTCTTATGGTTTAAGAGATTAGGATATAGGAGATTGGAATGAAAATAAAAAGATGAAAGGCAAAGGAAAAGAAAAACTTATAAAAGCATGTGTTTATTAATATTATTCTTTCGCATGTAACCTTAAACAACTAAATGACTAGAATTTGATTATAATTCTACTGCTGGTCAGAATATATGAACATGGCTTTCTCTCCTCCTCCTCCTCCTCCTCCTCCTCCTCCTCTTCCTCCATCCACTCCCACTACCCCGCCAACGCTTCTTTTCTTTTTCTTTTCTCTCTTTCTCTTACGCGGTAATATAAAATAGATAGATAGATAGATAGATTGATAGATTAGAATCTTTGGAGGTGCTGTATCGTTGCTCCTAATAACGTGGAACGAACAGTTTAACAGGCTTTCAGTGGATTATTTTCGTCTCCATTTTGAAAATTATTTTATACAACGAGAAAGCACGGATCGGCATAATACGTGTGTATAATGAAATAATTCATTTCAAATATATATATAATTACTACTATAATAATTGAATAATAATCTCTCGTACGAGACGATCAAAAATATCATTGATCGTCGAGAAAGAATAATATTGTTGTCGAATTTTTATGATTGTTCTTTGTTTTTTTTTTTTTTTTTTATTTATTTTCATCTAGCTGCCACGATCACGACTTTCATGATGGACGACGATCCACTTTAAACCTCCATTTAAAATCACGTTTCACTTTTTAATTAATTTTTTTGTTTTCTTTTGTTTCTTTTTTTCTTCTTTTTTTTTCTCTTTAACATAACATGTATATATATATATATATATCTATTTGTAGGTCTTTACGAAATGTATTATTTACAAAATTAATTATTTATAAAACTAAACAAAAAAATTGTTGTTAACGATAGGTTGAAAGTTAATTAACGAATAGCACTTAACGACACCAGCCAAAATTCTGGTTGAACGATAAAGAATAAATATACAAAATTTTAAATGATAATAATCATAAAGATAAAAGTAATAATAAGTAATAATTAATAATAATAATAATAATAATGATAATAATAATAATAATGTTGTTAATATTAATAGCGGTAATAGTAAAAAATAATAATAACAATAATAAGAATAATAGCAATTGGGATTGTCATTAGTAATGAACAGATAAATTATCTTCATTCGTGTTACAATCATTTGCAGTTCCAACGAATTAGAAATAATTATTGATTTTTATTTGAATTTTTTAATGGCTTCGTGGACTCCTTCGAGGACTTCGTTCCAAACCTTGTTGCTTCGTTATGTCACTCGATGATGTCAATGGCTTCTTACCACTTTCGCTACCTTTTCGGGAACGCCAGTAATCTGTAAAAAAACAAAAGAAAAACAAATAAAAACCATGAAAAGAAAACTAAATGAAATTATTTTTAATCATCGAATTATTCAATTAATTATATATAGGAATACGATTTTAAATTGATACAATATAATAAAAATACTCCTCGTATTAATTATTAACAGGTAGAGTAATTTATCCAATTAAAAAAAAAAAAAATAAAAGAAAAAGCACAAGTGCATACCGCAAGAAAAAAGAAGGAGAACAAAAATATCCTCGCTCAAACAAACAAATAAAAAAAGAAAAAAAAAAAAAAAAAAAAAAAAAAAAAAAAGAATAAATAAAAGGAAAGATAAAGAGAGTGGTTGGAATAACAAGTATATCTCGTAGGTCTTCTTCTTTTTCTTGGGCAATACAAGGCCCCCTAAGGGATTCGGCCCTTTCCCTTTTGTCGACGCATCAGGGACAGCTTATTACGTTGGCATACACAACACCTTAACTTCTTCTGTGTATCCAGATCGTCACGAAGTTTGTTGTGTATGCTATTTCTATGTATGCGCGTTTAGTATAGTGAAATAAGAAAAGAAAAGAAAAGAAAAGAAAAGAAAAAAGAAAAAGAAAAAAAAGAAGCCATGAAATTTTCACGACAATAGGATATTCGAAATAACGAACGTAGGGCACACCACCATAACGATGATGTGTCGGGTTTTTTTAGCATTGGGGAGATTTGGCAGGAACACAAAACGCGTCTTTTGACGTTTTCTTTCTTTCTTCGATCACAGGTAGTCGTCGTCGTCGTCGTCGTTGTCGTTGTCACCTGAACACTCAACCTTTACACCTTCTCTATACAAACGCTTCTTCCCTTACTTTTTTTTTGTTCTTTTTACTTTTTACCTTGACAGACAGGTGATCAAATTTTTCAAAAAAAAAAAAAAAAAAGAACCATACTTATAATCTTTCCTATCAATTTCTCTAACTTTACTTATACGTTAAACCGAATATTAATTGTTTATTTTTTTCTGTATTCAAGATCAATTTTTATAATGCAATCTAACCAATCGTATATCAATTCTCGTCAAATTAAATATGGACGATCCAAGATGGCGGGGGATTTATAAATGACAAGATGGATCGACAACGGTAATAAAAGAAAAGACAAAGTGAGGTTAGGTATGATTGGATTAAAAAAAAAAAACTAGATCCATTTGTTCTCTCCTTTTTTTATGTTTTCTTTTTTTGAAAAAAAAGATGAGAAAGCTACGTAATAAAGAGTAGAACGGTAAAGTAAGAGCCATATGTTCAGTAAGATCATCGTGGATCCTCTAGTAGTCTTCTCTTTCTTTCTTTATTTCTTTATTTCTCTTTTCGCATTGGTTGCTTCTTCTTCGCCATATGGTGTTCGCGAAACCGAGCTTTCTCAGTGGTTCAACTAAAGTTCATTCCTTCTCTTTCTCTCTCTCTCTCTCTCTCTCTCTCTCTCTCTCTCTCTCTCTTTCACATTTAACGCTGAAAGAGAGAAGAGAAAAAGATAGATAGATGTAATTCTGACCAGGATTTCATTTGTCAACATCTGTTTCCATGGTTGGGCCATGAGATTCTAATACTAGGAACCCCTCTTTAAGGAGTAAACCAATAAGAAGAGCAAGAATCCTTATCCACTCACTACTACCTGTCCATATGTTTTTAAGGTGGCCCCCATAAGTGATATTCCACCATAAAAATCTAGATCTTTCCCTCTCTCTCTCTCTCTCTTTGTTCCCTCAAACTCTTACATGTAAGAGATTGGAATAAGAAAATAAAAAAGAAAAGGAAGTTAGAAGGGAACAAAAAAATATATATATGTGTATGTATGTATGTAAGTATATAGGTGTGGGTATATCACATAAAGGTAATCCAAATCCTCCTACATACTTTTTCATACGAACTACGGATTTTTGCTATAGAAATTTGAACGGAAAGGTGAACACACACCGTAAAGCAGGTCTTCGCTTTTTTATTTTTCTTTCACTATAAATTTTCTTCTTTTCATTTTTCTTTTCTTTCTCTCTCCCTTTCTCTCACGCAAATCGTACAAAATTCTCCTCCCCTAGGGGATCTTGTGTACCGATATTTTTTTCTTTTTCCACGTGGTAAAAGATTTTAATTCACCGTTACTTTATTATCGTTAGGATTAACATGGATGAATGATATAGGTGTGTGTATTAATTGAAAATTTAACATTGTTCAATGAAATTCGTTAAAATGAATTGTGTCTCATAGGTAAATAATAAAAACTTGAAATAATTAAATCTGCCGAAATGGAAAGGGAAATAAAAAAAAAAAAGAAAAAGAAGAATAGAAATCTCTGTTTCTTTAAAAATTGTTACAAAGTCTTAACAGCAGAAGAAACGAATCGATGGATTGGTTAACCCTATAAGAAAGTTTTTTAATGGGGGTAGAGAAGGAGGAGGAGTAAGTTAGACGCGGAAACACTTGGGAAGAAAGAAAACAGATGGTGTACGACCTTCTTAAGGTCTCTGTGTGCCGGTTGCACCCGGTGTGTTTGTCCTGTGTGTGTGTGTTTGTGTTATAATGCATTTACTATATCGCGTGTTCTTCGCGGACTTGATTTAATCGTGGGAAAAAGAGGATCGGTACGAACCGATGCCACTGCCGGTGCAACTGCCGGTACCGGTGCCGGTGCCGGTGCTGTTCCTGTTGGTTGTGCACAGTTGCATTTACCTATTGATATTGCTACCGTTTCAACTTCTAAAGATTGAAACAGGTGTCTCCCTTAGGAAGAAAATAAAGAAGGAAAGAAATAAAAGAGAAGAAGGGTCCAAGAAGTGGTATTTTCTACCCCCCATGTGCACATTCACACGTACACGTTTATTTATTCTGAGTATGCGTTTCGTTTCGTTTAATTTAGTTTATAATTTGTAAAGAAAATAATATGTTGATCAAATTTATTTATTAACGAAGCATCAATAATTATTAATCTACCGTGACTGAGCTTAATAATTAACGATGATAACAGAGAAATCTTGCATAAGAAAAATAGACGACAAAGAAATATTGTGCAAGAGATTAAAAAAAAAGAATGAACGAAAGAAAAATAAAATAAAAGAAGTGCAAATTGCGATGACCCGGACTGGTGGAAGGAATTCCTCCTACTGATGCTTTTTGTCATTGGAATGTTTAGTATCTCTTGACGAGTATGTGTATTACGTATAAAAAGAAAACAAAAAAGAGAAAGCAAAAGGATTTAAAAAGAGAGAAAGAGTTATTTTTTTTGTCGATCCTTTTTCTTTTTTCCATTTGACATTTGGTGTGTTTGACTGCGGTAATAATATCCGTCTTGCATGAAAGCGTGTGAACGGTACATGTGCAGAAAGTCTGATGAGGGATCTCTTTTCTCCAGGCACCGAAAGTATTCAAGGAATGCGATAGTAAGTTCGTTTTACTCCTTGAAAACTGGGGCCCCTTTTCGATGAGTCATTTTCGAAGAGAGTTGAGTAAGAAAGAAAAAGGGTGAGAGAGAGAAAGAGAGAGAGAGAGAGAGAGAGAGAGAGAGAGATTGAGAGTTAGGGAGGTAGAGTAGGGAGAAAGATCCTACAGGTATGTATTTCACATCGCCCACCCATGAGTATAGATGACTCATATTTTAGAGAAAGAGGGAGAAAGAAAATGAGAGCGTGATTCATTCGACGAACAATTTCATGCGTTTCTTTTATCTCTCCAGGTAGTTCCTATCCAAACAGAATATTTCTCACGATTCAATCGTGTCCATTTTTTTCATCATCATTAACTTTACAACGCATGCACTCTAATAATACAATGTATAATAATGTAAAATAAGATTAGTGTTCAGTAATTCAATCACAATTGTAAACATGTATTGTGTATTTTTATCAATACTTTCATATACATACACATTTGTATTTTAATAATTATAAACAAACACTTGAAATATATTCATTTTATCACGAGCTAAAATTTTTAATATATAAATTACAAAAAAAAAAAAGAAAAAAGAAAGGGTAGAAATGATATTTGTTCGAAGATCAGAATACGAAGAACGAGAGAGAAAACGGTGTCGGCCTATATAGTCGACGAAAGATTTGGACTTTAGAAAGAGTTTCGAAACGATGCTGGTGATGATGCTTGCTGATGATGATGGGGATCGGGGCAAGGAGGGGAAGAAAGAACCATAGATCCCTCGGCGCGTAAGACGAGAAGCCAAAAAGAGAAAAAGGAAGAAGAGACATCAATAGTAGTAGTAGTAGTGTAGTAGTAGTAGTATTATGAGTAGTAGTAGTAGTAGTAGTAGTAGTAGTTTAGGAGTAGTAGTAGTTTAGGAGTAGTAGTAGTATTATTAGGAGTAGTAGTAGGAGTGGCAGGATGAGAAGAGGACGGGGATGAAAGGGGCATAGTAGTAGAAGTAGTAGTAAAAGAAGAATACCAAGAGGAAGAGGGGGAGGGGAAGGGGGATGGGGAGGAGGAGCAGAGGGAGAAGGAGAGAAGGCGGAAGAGACAAAGAGAGGAGTGTGCGAGGTTAGAATAAGAAAACAGGTCGGAGAGCCACGCGACCGGCCTGCGCTTGCGCGTTTGTTTCTCTTTTCCTTTTCCTCCCCGTCACTATCTCTTCTTTTTATTTTTTTTCTTCTTCTTCTTCTTCTCCTCTTTCTCTTCTATCCCCTCTACTCGCTGTTTCTCTTTCTCCCCCCCCCAACCCCTCCACATCGTCATACGAAGCAACGTTTCGTTTCCCGCCAAAAGTCCGCCACGAGACTCGCTGAGCGTCGCTTCCCGCCAAAAAGTTGCCCTTCCCCCCCCCCCCACCACTGGGCACGCATGCTCCGTCTTCTTTCCCGCCAAAAAATTGCCACGAGGCTTCTTCATTTCTTATCTAAATACTTTTATATCATCTTTTTTTTTCTTCTTCTACGTTATTATAATATAATTAATATTATTATTTTCTTTATATATAGTAGCGGACACTTTAATATTTGAACGAATAATCCCAACGAAATAGGTTTTAATAATTGTGATGCAATATATAATTGTGCAATGAAAAGAAATTTATGATATACCGTTTAGGTTTCCAAATGATAAAACATTTTAAACATATCTTGGCTAATTATAGTTGCCTTGTTAAGTAAAAATCTACTGTTTTTTCCCTCCTACTACGTTTTTTTTTCTTCTCCTTTTTCTTCTTCTTCCAAAGACATTCTCTTTTGCGTCAGAGTTGGAATATGTACGATGACTCGTTTGTCGTTGATATCATCCAATCGGGTGATGTTAAAAAAAGATAAAAAGAGAAAGGAAAAACGTCTGTAGAAAGGAAAGAAAGGGAGAAACAAGTAAATAACTAAAATAAATGGAGACATTTCTAACAGAAACGATTCGAACGTTAGACGTAGATAAAGTTTTCGAAAAAACGTAGATATGAAAGAGAGAGAGAGAAAGAGAGAGAGAAAAAAAAGATATTTGTCCTAAGATAAAATTTGGACACGCTCGTGTCCTCCATTAGCTCGAACCAGCGGGTCGCGTCTACCGTTTTACCAAAATCCTTCATCCTTTGAACAATCCTTAACCTTTTCTTTCTTTTCTTTAAGAAAACAAGATAAACAGGTATAGCTATTGGTCAAAGTACACATGCCATTAGGAAATAATATAGAAGAATAGTTAAATCTTATCGATAGATCTATTGAAAAGTCAAGACGTGATCGTATCGAAGCAATTAAACCGGACCCGTATCAATCGCAACTAAAAATATCCATTTCCCGCCAAATTGTATTTCTATCGAGAGTCATCATATTTTCGTGCGAATAATTTACATTTCGTCGTAAAATAAAACTATCTCACATATATATACATATTTATATGTTTTTTTCATTTGATTGTCGAACGAAACTTACCGTGAATATTGGTTTGCTTGGAATAAGGACTGGATCGTTTTTTCGGCGTATGCTCGTTATACGACCACCGGCAATCATTTTCTTTATTTTCGGAACACGGATCGATCCCCCATCTCCTGGTGAATCGTTTTCTCTCCGTATCCAAAGCCTCTTGCAACATCTCAGCGGTTTCCCGAGAATTTGGTGATCCGAATAAGCAACGGGATACACGAGACGATGCGTTGTAAGAAGAAGTAGCAGTAGCAGAAGCACCACCTCCGTTCCGGCCACCATTCATCGTCGTATTACTTGGTAACACAGTGAAGTGCACCTCGCGACAGATCGAAGTAGCCAACATCTCGTCCCCTTCTTTTATTTTCACTTGCTCGAGCGCGGGCTCTCTTCGTCGATTAAACGACGAGAGAGGGATAGATGTTGCTGTTGTTGCTGCTGCTGTTCCCGCCGCCGTTGCTACTGCTGTTGCTGCTGCTGCTGCTACTGTCGGTGATGACGGTGACGATGACGGTGACGATGATGATGAACTAACTCTTCGACATTTGAAAGATCCTCGAATTCGAGGACGTGGTCTAGGTTCGAAATGATCTTTTCTTATTTGATCCACGATTTCGGAATATTTAACTTATTCGTGCTACCACCAAAATGGCAGCTTGAAACTTTTCCCGCGCACTTCTGTCCGTCTGTCTCTGTCTCTCTCTCTCTCTCTCTCTACTCTCTTTCGTTCCCTCCCTTTTTATTTCTTCAATATTAATATATTTTTTTCCCCTTTTCTTTTTTTTTAATTCTTACGCAAATTTTGTTGGAGAAAGATCAAAATTTATCTTCTCTATCTTTCATTTGCAAATGTTGTATTAAAGTTCAAGGATCGTAATTTTTTTTTTTTTTCCTTCAAGATATCATAATCTCCTTTCTCTTTCTTTCATTTGCTAATTTTTATTCGAGTTGAAGTATCTCGTTTCTTTACCTTTCTTTCTTTCTGTCTTTCAAATAATCACCATATAATGATGATGCTGGTCTCTCGACAAATTTTCTTTCATTCGATGTCACTAAAATTTCTTTTATATATTATTTACGCGATTACGATTATTATCCTTCTTCGTTATATTTCTTGTAATATTTTGTCCAAAATTTCATAGAAAAATTTTGTTTGGATATATATCGCGTATGAAAATGATGTGGGGCCCGTAGAAAACGCGACGTCTATGCCGTTCGACGGTCGGACTCGTTCTGGTTGTTCGTTCGTAAAGAAACTACAGAGTGGTCTGGGCCTGAACTCAAGTTCTTCGCTGATGAGATGGTGTCGGCCAACGGTGTATGCATGTGCATGTATGTGTGTGTTTGCGTCGGTAGTGGTAGTAGTGGCAATGGTGATGGTGATGACGATGGCGATGGTGATTGTAATAATGACGATGGTGGTAGTGGTACTGTGCGATGATGGTACGATGGTGGTAGTGGTAGGATTTCAGGTTCGTCGTTAGAAGGTAGCAGGGAAAAGGCCTGAGGAGGAGAGTCCACGAGGAGAATCTGCCTTACACGTACGCCCCTCCACCGCTTACATCGGAGAATTCAAATCTGATTGGTGCGCGGGATTGGTTGCGCGGTAAAAATGGCGCGCGATTTACCCTCTTTCTCTTACTTATTGCTAACGGCTATCCTACTGTCTCTCTCTCTCTCTTTCTCTTTTTCTCTTTTTATTTTTTTTTCTTTCTTTCTTTCTCTCGGGCACTTTGTTGAACTGTGGGCCACGTTTCTTCATTCTACCTCTCTCTCTCTCTCTCACTCCCCCTCTTCTCCCCCTTGCCCCTCCCCCACCCTTTTATTTAGACGTTCACTGTATCTGCGCGCGCTCGCGTGTTTGTCTCTCTATCTCACATACGAGAAACATTTTTTTCTCTTATCCCTCTCTCTTTCTTTCTCATACAGTGGCTCCAACGGATTATGCTAAGCGATTTCGTTCGAGGAGGAGTACCATGGAAGAAGAAGAAGAAGAAGAAGAAGAAGAAGAAGAAGAAGAAGACGAAGAAGAAGAAGAAGAGAAAAGAAGAAGAAGAAGAAGGAGAAGAAGAAGAAGAAGGAAAAGAAGAAGAGGCTCGCGCCATAAAGCCTACCTTTTATTTCTTTTCTAAGTAGCATGACGTATAGAGCGATCACGAAGAGCACCGCAGTGTTCAACGTTTTGCCAATGTTCAGGGATAGTGTTTCGAATCGATAATTCTTGTTTAATGCATTTTCATTGTATTTCAATGCCCCCCCCACCCCACCCTCTCCTACCCCTCCCCCTTTATATTTTTTTCTTTTCTCGCGGGAGAAATCGTAGTTCGGAGAATTGAACTTATTGATTAATTGAATTATTTTTTGCTCGAAATAAAATTTCAATTAGAAATATTTGTCATTTTTTACGATTACATTTAGCAATACCGAGGATCGATTATTATTTGTCGAAATGTTTGTAATACATAAATCTATCTCGTATGTTAATACAATTTTTAGGCTCATAGATTTAAGAAAAAAAAAAAGAAAAAGAAAAAAAGAAAAGAAAAGAAAACAAACAAAATAATCCATAATTTAAAGTCAATCATTTTATATTCGTTCGACCAAAAGAAATTTCTCTTGGCAGGTGGAAGGGATTCAGCACGTGTACATGTGTATCTTCTTTATGTGTATGTATTAGAGTCAGAAAGAGAGAAAGAG